AATGTGAATTGAGATCCATTGGGGATGGAAGGTGCCCCTGAACTGACGGAGAGAGAATGCAGTCATTCCTCCTGTGTGCCCACAGCGACCTGTCTCTGTTGTGAGCCGGTCCATCTCGCCACTCACAGTGGTGAGCAGGATTTGCTGCGAATCTCTCGACATTAGCCTCACTATATGGTCCCGAAATGTCCAGGCGGTAAGATACATGGGCAAGGTTATGAGGCCCCCTAACTTAGCCTCCAGAGTTCCATTGCACAAAATAGTGGGTTTGAGCATAGGCCTATAACCAGCTTAGTCGTTCCATTGCACAACGAGCTGACTGGCCGATGAGATGAGTGGGCAGCTAATTAGGCCTGTGGCTCATCTACGATACGCAAACCAATCGAGCCAGAACGAGATTGTATGCCTCGCCACAATCTGTCAAATCCGCATGGAGATGGCAGTTTGCTGCCAGATTTATGTGGTTCTTGCATTTTACCACCATACTCACATAAAGTAGAAAACTTTTCATTGCCTTATCCATATGTAGTGCTCCTTCCAGTGGCTGTGAGGTAGGTAGGAACGAGCAAGAATATCCGTTTGAATACAGTGACTGCAGACCATATGTGCTCCTACTCGAATTCAATGCTACCCACCAGTGCCAGCTCACGTGTCAGGTGGGAGGACCCAAGCTTGTCATCCGGGTCGCCTTATGTGTGTGTTCCACCAGGGTTTCTCCCAGACCCACAACAGAAGTGTTGCAGCCACCCCCCAGCATAATGCAACCGCAGCAGAAACTCCTCCAGCATACACACGTCTTTGGGATGCCAGCAGAAGGCCCTCTCACCAAATCCATGTCCTCCAGAAGTATAGATATTTATGTTTATGCTCACACTTGGAGGCACCTATTAGAATAGGTACCTCGTGTCACATTTAAATCCTAGCTTAGCATCTCCCTCTTCCAACACCACCATTCTTAGACTGCACTTCAAAATTGGTCAACCCTAATTGTGATCTCACCTTTCCCTCTCAAGAAATATCTTCTTGCCAACGCTATTTGTTGACTAACTTACCTTCTCAAGGTCAAGCTATTCGAACGCCCTCTCATACCATCTGAGCTTAGACTTTATCCATACAGTCCCAGAATCTATTTGTTACTACGGCGTGCTGCTACTCCCCTCTAAACCCCAAATGTGAGAGGGAGATTTCGTAATCTGTTCCTGCTTACCGTAAAGGATGTGAGGCCGGCCTTATGGAGCCCCCAGAAAAATACTTCTAACATGGATGGAGAAATGCTTCGAAGGGGTTTTCAAAGTGTCCGTTACACATTTTGAGTGTTAAAATGCTAACATTTGGCTACCCATGCACATTGTTTTTAGCACAAGTGGTTACCCAATTTTCCACTAGCCATCATCAATCTATCTTCATTCCATGACCTTCACCGCTGCTTTTTATCCACGCCTTTCTCCCATTGGTCGAAATCAAGGGGCTTAACTGATTTCGCCCCTCCCACTCAAAAACGCCACCATTTACCCCATCGATTGCTCCCATTGGTTGAGACCTCAGTTGACTTCGTCTCGAAAGTAGGAAACCCGTTTCCGCTTCAGCTCCAAGCTAAATATTCTTGCGCACCCTATATAAAGTGAAATTGGCTGATTGAATTACAGAAATTTATTTCTGTAACCAACACAAAACCGTGGGAGCCCTCATTCAATGGTGAAGGGGGGTTGAAGCCATGGCGTTAGGCTGAAATGAACCCTAAAAACGCCTAAATAAGGAGAGTGTCGTAAGCTAGTAAAAGGGAGAAGTTCCTGGTCGCGTAACTTGCAACCCTATAATGAAGTCGTCAATGGCTCAATTATGTGTGGTTTGGTTGGGTGAAGTAGCTGTAGTGCGGTGGAGATAGGTGGGGGGGTTGGATTTTGTTTGTGGGTGTTTTTGGGCCGTGCGGTGACGAGTTGAAATGTGGAGTCACTTTTTATGCTTGAATTCCCAAAGTATGATGTTTTTGGCTGGAAAAAAAAAAAAAAAAACCGATTTCACGCTGGTCTTTTTTTTTTTTTTTTTTTTTTTTTTTTAGGCAGCATCGAGCGTCAAAACGTACGTCCAGCGTCCAGCGTCAAAACTAGGCTTTCCTAGCATAAAATCCAACTGAGCATCAGGAATCAAGTTAGCAAAGCAGCCCCTTGACTAGGCCTATTTCTCTATTGGCTTTCATTTTCATTGCAGTGATGTCAGTCTGAACTATCTCACTGGCCTGCTCCCTCAAATAGTGGGCAATCTCGCTCATCTTTCGTCCCTGTAAGGCATTTTAAGTGTTGTGGTTTCTATCATATCAACCTTGAAGCGTATTACGAAGATATTTTTTTCCACTGGTGTACCATAGGCCAGATATTATTGCAGCCACGGGAATTCAAGGTAACGAAGGCTGAACTCTGACTGGTCTGGACCAATCCTCTTCAGCTCGACAGCTATCGAACCAGGCTGGTGCACATCAGTAAGTTACCTATAGTTGCCACAATTGAGTCATGTGTGGTTTGTGGTAATACTAACATCAAGAAATCTTGTCTTAGTAGATTACTGCAATGTGTTACCATGCTTCAGCAACCTCCGAGAATTCCACTCAAAGCAGAAGCCCGTTGGTGAGTGATAATTTGAGAACACTTCCTGTGGACATGTAGGGACATAACAACAATTGGCGACCTAACTCGTCTTTCATTCATGTAAGGCATTTCAGCATGTTCAAGTGTTGCAATGTCTATCATAGCAACCTTCAAGCTTTTACGAAGGTGTTCCAGTGATCTACCATAGCCCGATTGCGATTGCAGCCACAGGTAGTAGGTAGACAACGTCTGAACTTGGACTGGCTCGGCCCAAAACTCCACATCAGGCCATTCTGAAAAGCCAGCAAACTACCAGTGTGTGGTTTCTCAATATGTTGTGCCAGTACAACATCTTGACATATAAAGTATTGCAATGTGTTACCCTACATCTCCAATAGCAACCTCGGAGCATTTCAATTTGAGCTAAAATCCGTTTCTGATTTACAGAACACTCCATGTGCACATGCATGGGCAATCTCACTCCTTTTTCGGCACTGAAAGGCACTTAAGCATATTATAGTGCTGCCATTTCTATCATAGCAATCTTGAAGTGTTTCACGAAGAGGAGGTATTCCACTGGTGTACCATAGGCCAGTTCTCGTTGCATCCACATGTATTCAAGGTAACAAGGGCCAAACCTGGATTGACCCAGGACAATCTTCTTCAGCCCGAAAGCTATCCAACCGGGCTGGTGCATGTCAGTTAGTCTTCTATAGCTGGCACAAATTACCCATGTATGGTTTACTGATACCTCCACCCTCTAAGAAATATTGTTTTAGTAAAGTATTGCAATGTGTTCCCATGCTTCAGCAAACCTCAGAGAGTTTCAGTCAAAGTGGAAGCCTGTTGGTGAGTGATAACTTGAGAACGCTCCATGTGCACATGCAGGGACATATCTTCGACGGGAATCACATGCCCTTCTGACTACAGCAGCTGCGTGGTCCCACAGACATATTCAAGTGCTTTCTGCAGGCAGTGCCGCTCCTTCTGCACCACATGTGACATGCCAGGTGAGACGCTCCTCCGTTACACATGTGGCTGCAATTTGTATTGCCTATTTTCAATTTGCCCTCAGTAGTGCTGAGTGCATCAACATTGCGTTGTCACCTACGAAACAAGCTTTTCCACTGTTAGGCATCCGCGGCTTAGCTACTCATGATATGAATTGCTGCACTTCTGTATCATACCTCCTCATGGCGCATGCTGAAGAATAAGTGTTTTAACATTTCAACGCCTACTTTCACTTCCTTTCCCTGATCCCACATCCTCTTTCACCAGGCCCACTGTCATTCCCATGTCTGATTGCCTTTTCCCTTCCGCATATCTGTCTTCCTACCCCATGGATGCACCCTTCCTATCGCCAGTTCCCTCCAGTCTGGAGACGGTTTATCCAACGGAGCCATTGCTGGCATTGCTGTTGCTGGCGTTGTGGTTGTCCTCGTGCTGCTGCTGCTGACCTGGCTGCTGTGGAAGCGATGCCACAACAAAGAGATTGAAGGAAAAGGCGATACCAGCACCAATGTGGATGGCAAGAAATTGGCAGATGGTAATCGTTTTGAGGTATCAGAATTCTGTAGACGCATAACCTAGATGAGGCAACGTCATGCAGTTGAGATAAAAGTTGAGTGTCATCAAAACCAAAAGATCACAAACAAATCCAAGAGTAAAATCAACAACTTCGTGGGCCCTTTCTCACCACGGACCAGCTAAGCCCTGGTCCTCCCAGATGCCGGGCCATCCTTTTGGTTGGGCCTGACTCATGAGTTATGGGTTGGAGACTCGGAATTGCTGGGCGTGACTCATAAGCACGGTTTTTTACTTGTTATTCTATACAAAATAGGCACGAGGAAATGACCAAACCAAACCACTCCAACATTTTCTTACTCTAATGCGAACTGGCTAGAGGAAAAATCAGAGCGTTTTGTCCCTAGTCAATCTGGTGAGTAGATTGAATAAATCCAAGATTGAAATATCGAGTCTCAGTTGAACTGGGCAGGTTCGGTCGGGGTTGGGGTTCATTGCCATGATATCACACAGCCACATAGGGACGGTGTCGAGGTGGCGATATAAGAGGTTTGTGATATTGTTCACCAAAGATTCGAATGAATTCATCTTCTCATTGAAATCCATCCAGCCTTAACCTCCACTTGCCAGGATTCGTCAAATGAAGCCATGGTGCTTGCTGGTCCATCCTGATTCATTAGACATTCAGAATAGGTGGTTCAAATTCCAGCCCCCTTAGCTTATCAGTCATCTCTTCTCTTTCACCATCTTATTCAAATCTTTGCAGTACCAAATAATGGGGATGCGAATTTAGCAGCAGCAGAAGGGGAGGTCGCAGCAGCTGCAGCAGCTGCCGCAGCAGCGCTACCATTAGCAGCAGCACAAGGGATGCAGGGTGATGGTTTTGTGGTGGAGATGGAGGCAGCACGGCCATATGTGTGTCGAGAGTACTCTCTGGCAGAGCTGGCCAAGGCCACAGGAGAGTGGGCAGAGGGGAACAGGATAGGAAGTGGCAGCTTTGGGGATGTCTACAAGGGTGTGTCGCCCCATGATTGCAATCAAGCCTGGGCAGTCAAGCGAGCTCGAGTGCTCACCAATGACTTCCAAAGAGAGGTATCATGTTGTGATTTACTGTTGATATGTTAGTGCCACAATTCTTGTTATCTTAGTCTGCCAACTCCAAGCATAACTGGTGCTCTAATAAATCAATCCCCTTTGAACTATTACCTGTTTTTCCCTCTCAGGTGAAAGAGATGGCAAGCAAGCACCATCCACATCTCGTGCGTCTCTTGGGATATTGTATCGATCTCGACCTCTCCACACGACTCATGGAGCAGATTCTTGTTTACGAGTTCATGCCCAACAACGACCTTGAGAGCTGGATCGGTCCTAATGTCCCCCACCCTCTTTCGCTCTATCAAAGGCTTGAAATTCTGATTGGAGTGGCAAAGGGGTTGCAGTATCTTCATGACTTCGGCATTGTGCATCGCGACATCAAGCCCGCCAACATCCTCCTCGATGCAAGAATGCAGGCATGTCAATATAGTTATAAGCCTGGCTGTACATGGTGGAAAATGCCTACTCATATCCTTCCGTTTGCAACTATCTTGTGCTGTTTTGAATCGCCTTGCATGTTCCTCATCTTACACGTCGGTACTGTTCTTGTCCATGGGCAGGCCAAGATTGCTGACTTCGGGCTTGTGAAGCTTAGTGGGGGCACCGCTATGGGCACGTCTGTGGCTGCTACACGAGTGATGGGAACACCAGGCTATGTGGACCCTGCGTATTTCAAGTCTCACAAGGCCACTCCAGCAGCAGATGTGCACAGGTGAGCAGATTGGCGCAGGTGAACAGAATGGCACAGGTGATCAGATTGGCACAGGTGAGCAGATTGGCACAGGTGAGCAGATTGGCGCAGGTGAGCAGATTGGCACAGGTGATCAGATTGGCACAGGTGAGCAGATTGGCACAGGTGAGCAGATTGGCACAGGTGAGCAGATTGGCGCAGGTGAGCAGATTGGCACAGGTGAACAGATTGGCACAGGTGAGCAGATTGGCACAGGTGAGCAGATTGGCGCAGGTGAGCAGATTGGCACAGGTGAGCAGATTGGCACAGGTGAGCAGATTGGCACAGGTGAGCAGATTGGCACAGGTGAGCAGATTGGCACAGGTGAGCAGATTGGCGCAGGTGAGCAGATTGGCACAGGTGAGCAGATTGGCACAGGTGAGCAGATTGGCACAGGTGAGCAGATTGGCACAGGTGAGCAGATTGGCACAGGTGAGCAGATTGGCGCAGGTGAGCAGAGTAGGTCAGACTAGCAATTCCATGCAAGTTAGCGTAATGGCATGAGAAAACAGTGAGGGTCAGCAGATGAGCACATTGGCATGAGAAGGCTTCCTGAGTTGATGAGAAATTTTCATGAGTTTCGATTCTTCTAGAAAAGACAGGGTTTGGGTTTCGGTGTTGCAGTGATTCCTATGTTTCCTTTACCTCACACTTAAAGAAAGTCTATGCCTGACATTGAAGCCATTTCCAGGCGTTTTTACCAATCAAGTAGCTTGGTGATGGTTGGAATGATTGGGAAACAAATTCCAGTGTGATCATAGAGCTTTTGTACATTGGAGCACGATTACAAGTATGATGCCTTTGTTTATTGCTGGGTTGCAGTTTTGGCGTGGTGATGCTGGTGGTTATCACGGCACGCAAGGCTGTGCATGTGACAGAGGAAAGCCAGATCAATCTCAAACAATGGGTGAGTCACAGAAGAATACATACCAAGGATGGCAGATCTTGCAACTACAACACAAGGCATGAGAAAGCCAGCTGCACTACGAAGTGAGTTTTCTGATCATATCAATGTTTTCTTGTTGCCCTTAGCCAAGCATATGTAGGCCAATTCATGTTCTCTTTACCTCCATTCCCAACAGGATGCATGTTGCAATGATTAAGACGAGCACTTACCTTTGCCTCACCTTGTATATGTGATAGGACTCACCTTCCTATCATTCTACTTTCTATGTAGCACTAATTTCTTATGACCATACATCATTCTCTGTGTTGCCACATTTCTATCATTCTTCACAGGTATAATTTAAATTTTAAAACTCTGTGAACATTTTCTATCACCAAATTGCATGTGGTGTATGCATATAACCTCACAGGTGACCCCGTTGGTGGACTCTGGTGCTGTATTGGCGTTTAAGGACCCCCTCTTGGACGCACCACACGACTTGGTGCTGCGCTCGACTCGCCTTGCCCTCTCCTGCACCGCCATGCCTGTGGCCTCCCGTCCCTCCATGAATCAAGTGCTGGGGGAGCTGGTGAAGTTGAAGCGGGAAGTGATCGGAGCACATGTGGGCAATGCAATATCTTGCATCGACATGGAAATTGAGAGTTCCATTGGCTCCTCCGGCTTCACTGCTGAATTGGCCCGTGCAGAACGAGAGGCCATGCCAACTGGCTCTCTTATTGAGTAGACGGTGTTTTTACTTGCACCTCACTGGTTCACCCTGTGGATCTCATACCGATGGTTTTTTCCATATCAAAACATGTATGGGGCGATGAGAAGCATTGACAGTGGTTTATGAAGATATATTGGTAGCATCTTCTGGTGAACACAAAAATGGGACTCGAAAATTGGGCTGTGAAGCAAACTGTAAGCAGTAATCGTAGATTTGGCTTGTGCATGGGCACATATTCTGTGCTTCGTCACCTTTTTCTGTCTTGTATGCATGACATTTTCTAGATTATAGAAAAGGTTCACTACCAACGTGGAACTTCTATATAGAAATAATATCCCTTTTCCGTGGCAGCACCAGACATCACGTTTGTAAGGCACTACACTCTCAAGTTCTAACCCGCAATGCACTACCCCTGCGCGTCCTAAGCATTGGATCTCATACCATCCACTCATCCCATGTTTCCTACTCTCACACTCCCTTTTCCTCCATACCGACCCACCCCCACTTCCCCAATGATCTCATACCCCTCTCCTCTCATACCCTGTACCACCCTTCGTACCCCTGATTTCTTTCACACCCCCCACTCCTTCTATGCCACGCACTCCCCTCACGCCCCGAAGTCCTCTCATTCCCCCCACTTCTCTCATAATCTCCCTTCTTTAATACCCCCACTCCTCAAATACCTCCATCCATCCCTCTCATACCCACCGCTCCTTTTATGTACCCAGTCAACTCATGCCCTCACTCCTATTCTCCACACTCCTCTCATTTCCCCCCCTCCACTCATTCACCCCAGTCCTCTCATACGTAAACCCCACTCCTCTCATACCCCCCACTCTTCTCACAACCCCTTCTCGACTCATACCCCCCATTCCTCTTACAACCCCCACACCCCTCACCCATGCTCCCACACCAGTTTGTGGCTCATTTTATCCCATTCTGAGGAACTCCCCAGGCTGCTCAAAACCATGCATGGTCGGTGGTGGAAGACTATGCCCATTCACCGATCTTACTTGCAATCGATGCCATCCAGCAGACGTTTTTCTCCAGTCGTCCGGCTTTGGAAAGTTAAGCCTGGCAACCGGCTTTGCTGCCAGCTCTGCTCTTACTCTGTCTGCTCTTGGCAACTTGACAACATCAGCTCCCATTTCCGATGCTCCTTCTCTGACCTTTCTACGTTAGCACATGATGTGGTGTGCCACCCACCCAGCCATCTGCCACGCCATGACAATCCAAAGAAATGTTGTTGATTCTTCTCCTGCTGTCTGCCCTTAAGTTCCTGCCGTCGCTCCATCAGCAACAGCAGCAAGCCTCTCCTCTCCATGCCTCCAACATTCCCCACACGACTGCTCCTTCACTGAGCTGGTGCATCATCTTCGTCCCCAGTATAGCGTTTTATCCCACTCATCACTCACACCTCTGCCATGCCTGGCATGATAAACACAAAGCCCGAATTACACAACGAAGTCAACGTAAAAATTGTAGGTTCGAAAAAATCCAGGAGGTTTGGTGGAAAATAACTAGAACCAATTGCGTCAACAACCCACTTAAAAAATCTGGACCAATTGTGTGAAACTGGTGACAGTTTGCCACCTCGGTAATTCTGGCAGTGGCCTTTAAGCAGTTGTTCTGCTCCTGGTTTCAGTCGTTCTGCTCCTGATTTTGGTTATTCTGCTTCTACCCCATGCCTTGTGCCCCAGCATTTTCCGCCTCAGCAGCCACAGCTAGCCTCTGCTCATTCCTAGGGCTTTTGCACCTTCACCCTCTGAAGATGGCTTTGCTTCCACTCAGACCTCTGCCATGCATTGGCCAAAAAACGTATCTGCTCTTTCTGGTCTTGGCTCAGGGAGAGTGTTGTATTGTATTGTGGCTGCAAATACTGTATGCCCGTGTGATGGTTGTGGAAGTTCCTGTCAAGCTGTTAAGCTTATGCTCGCAAGATGCTCCAGATTATTGTATTGGTCATTGTCAAGTGAGTCCGCTGTTGCAGAAGGTTAGAAAACTTTGTGCCAATAATTTCTGCGATGCTGAATAGACATGTTGTACAGTCTGAAACATGATACACTGTTAAAAAACAATAAGTTGCTGAACTACGCGCTGTTCAGCAGTGAAATGATGTATGACACCTGGAAATCTGTGGGGGAACAGGCTGTCACTCTTGGGGAGCAGCAGCAGCAGACTTCCATTCAACAGCATCCAGGCGATCGCAAATCGCCATCGTCTCTCGAAGGGAGCTCCTCGTTGCGGAGGGTGAGGATGATGAAGGCACAGAGGAGGCGGAGCACACTGCCTGCCAGAGAAACCGCCAACAGCCCAGAGGTAGACGTGATAATAGTGGTCATCTTGGCCTTGCGCCTGCTGAATACGCCCTGCAAAGAGGGAGAGCAGGCAAGGCAGGGAAGGTAGGGGAGGCAGGGAAGGGAAGGAGGGAGGGGAAGGTAGGGAAGGCCAGGGAGGGAAGAGAAGGCAAGGAAAGGAAGGTAGGGAAGGGAAAGATAGGAAAGGGAAGGAAAAGAAAGGGAGGGAAGGCGACGAAGATGCAGGCTGATAACTCGCAGAGCGCACTGCCTGGAATTTCGTCCAGTCCAGAAGAGCCAACCCATTGTTTTTAGACCACAGTTCTCTGTTACAAGGGTGGCTATCTTAGCATTGTGCCCACCTGAACAGGACCAATTAGGGTTTAACAACCCACTCGTGGCAATGCTGTTAACAAGCCCACCATCCACCTCCCACAATCCACCACGCACCATCCACCCCTTTACTCACCACCATGGCAGCCTAGAGGGCGGGAAAGGAAGTAGGGCAGATGGACAGCTACACACAGGATTACCCCCCCCCCCCCCCCCCCCCCCCCCCCCCCCCCCCCCCCACCTCCCACCCCCCTTTCCTCCCACCATTTTCCTATTCCCCGCCACACTCGCTCCCTTATCCGCCATCTCACCAGCACTGCCTTGTTTTCGCCCCACTCCCCCCCTCTTCTTACAATGCACCCATGGGAGGACATGAGAGACAGGAAATGAGTGGCAGGGCCGTGGCAGTCCAGGGGGACGGGGAGGAGGTAGGGCGGGGAGAGCTTTACCCCATAGCGCCCTGCCATGGTGTGCTGGAAGAGGCGGGAAAGGGTGGTGCATGTATCAGGATGGGTGGTGAGTTTCAGGGGAGTGAGGAAAGGTGCATGCTATGGCATGGTGCCCCCCCTGCCATGATGTGCTGGAAGAGGTGGGAATGTGTGGGTGGGGAGAGGCTTTGAGGGGATGGGGTGTGCACGTGATGTGCTCTGCTCTGTTGCGGTCTTGTCAGCAAGCTCTTGCTGGGTAGGTGGTGTAGTCCAGCCCTGTTGACCTGTGGCCCATGGCCCCATGCCGGTGATCTGCGTGAACATGACTTGCGCTAGCCACTGGATCCCACTGCCTCCTCGCCAGCTGACTCCTCCTGGCAGGATCAGGGCATGGGGGAGGAAGACGGTTCATGCATTTTGCATGAAGCCAGACCGCATTGGAACAAGGGAAGGCCAGGAGGAGCAAGTAGATTAGAACTTGGAAGGCAAATAATAGGATAAAAGGGATGGCTAAGTGCATCAGAGTGGCGCAGCGGAAGCGTGGTGGGCTCATAACCCACAGGTCCAAGGATCGAAACTTCGCTCTGATATGGTTATCAACTCCAACGGGTCTTGTTAACGTGTTTGCTTAACTAAATCTAAACACCACGCATGTACAACCACCATGGATCTCCCACCCACGCACTCTATCCTCGAATTCTGAAATTGGGAACCTCCTAGAACTCCTGCCCATTCATTCTATAAATAGCATTTTATACCTACTACACTACAAATCTTTGCTTTAGATTTTCCTAAATACCCATTCGTTACAGGTGAAGGAGGTGTTTTCTCTCTCCCATGTATTCCTGTAGGCGCCAGTAGAAGCTAGCCAAAAAGGCCGAGGCCGCATGGGTGAGTTTTTATATTGTAGAACATTCATACACACACGCATGCAGAAATGAATACAAAGAGTGAAGGCGACCCATGAGGAGGAAAGGACTGCATAGGGTAGTAGTGTGAAGTCACACACGAATCGGAATGAACCCTATGCTCCTTCATGGTTCATTCCAACTCACGAGCCATGAAGGACACGAACAAGGGTATGGGAAAGTAGAGACGAGCGCAGAGTTGCTGAAAGAGTGAAAAGGAAGCTCTGGAAGAAGCGAGTGAACCAGAGAGAGGAACCAGAGGAGTCAGGCAAGGGAGGAGATGACCAGGTTGGAGAGGTACACAGAGGGGCTGGTATGAAGGTGATGAATAATGAGCCAAATTACGCGAGCTGAATGAGCAGAGCAGCCATCATGTCCCAGGAACAACGGTGGCATCGGAAAAACGGTTTCTGAAAAGGGAATTGTTGTGCAAGAGAAAGGAGGGGAGAGAAAAAGAGAAGTAGAAAAGCGAAGACAGATGGGCCTCATCTGTTCCGCGGTTTCTCCAAACAGAAATGTTTTCACTGTGTAAGCAGATACTGACACTCCCATCACACCTTTTCATCAATGCAAGTAGGTGAGGTGAGGGTTGCAAATTGCGGCAGTGAGGGATAGGCCAGAAGGGATCCCAGGAGGAGGAAGGGAGCAAGATACAAGGCTGCATGAGGATGCGGACCGGGAATGACGACAAGGCGAAGAACTCAGCTCAACCTGACAAAACATGCAACCTAACCCACCGAATACACATCCTCACACTGGATAGAACCAAGCCCATAAATGGGCTTCAGCGGTTTTTTTGAGATTACCACAGCCAGGTCGACAATGGAAGCCGGAGTGAGCACACAACGCGGGATCTGAAATTATGGTGCAGGGGAGAAGAAAAGTGGTGGGGAGTCCTATACTATGAGTGAACAAAGGGGTTCAGCGGTGGCTTGGCCGTTTGAGGTGTTCTTTGAGACGACAAAGAAGATTCCTGAAGTAGACTTGCCCGCAACTTGGGTCAGCTTGAGACCGAGATTTGACTCGAATCGGGTCGAGGTTGGTGGACT